TGAAGGGGTAGGCAGAGGTGCACATTATACCACTGTACAATGTAACACCCACTTTTCACTATTTATGTTATGAGTCCCATGTAATAGGGGGTGAGCCTATTACCATATACCGGGCACAATTCCAGACTCCGTGCTACTACTGAGAATTTTTTAAAAACCCAGTAATACTTTAGCCGACCCGGGAATCGAACCCGAGACCCCTTGCCCGGCAGTCGCACTTGCGACCACTCGGCCAACGAGGCAGTCATAATAATAAAATACTTTTATATATCTATCTATGTTCATATTTATATTGTATCATTGTATTACGTTCATCAAAGCCTAAATTAGTTCAGCTAAAAGGTAACACGACATTAATTGACTGTTAGGCGGTACGAAGTTCGCCGGCTAGCAATTAATAATATTCAAATTAAAAAAACCACAGATTATATAATATGCAAAAAGAAACTGCCAAAAATAAATATGTTAATATATGAGCGTGCTATAATTTAAGTCGACAAATCGATGCACCTCTCAACTTCCACCAATAAGAATGAGACCACAAATATTTTTTACTGACAAAATATTAGACAAACAAAAAATATATCGATCGTAGGTCAAGATTGCGAGCGACCGTCGCGTGCGCAGCCGCTCTAATAAATCTCATATTTAACGCATCAATTAGCACTTTGAAATTAATATTGGTAGCATTCGTTTATGCTTGTTTTGGTGGATTTAGAAATGTTCTGGAAATCTATGATGCCATGCTAGAACCATGCTTCCCGAATGGGCCGGCTCGACTGGAGTGATACCACGGCCAAGCAGAAAACTGACGTGAAGCAACGCTTGCGTTGTATTTCGTCGTGTGAGTGAGGTTAATGGAGGCCCAATCTCTGCAATCCCCGAATCCTATTTAATCCTCAAATTCCTAATCCAAAAAGACCGTAACACACTTGTAACACTTTCAGGTGCCTATAGGCGGCGCCGATTGCTTTGCTGGTTTACCCGTTTATTCCATAAAAAATGTCCAATATTTTGAAAATCTAGTTTTTCGTTTACTTGTTAAATTCAATATATTAGATTATTCAATTATTAGTAAATTCATAATTTTGCCTACACACATCACATCACACCCAGACCCGAATCAATAGGCAAATAATTTATTTTATTTAATCAATATTTAATTTATGGATAACACAAGAATAATTGTGTGATCAGACTCTTATTAGTCGGTAAGAGCCTCACCCAGGCAGGAGCATAATTCGATAATATTCCTCCATTAAAAAAAATACGCATACATAATTAATACTAGCTGTGGCCCGCGACTCTGTACGCGTAAAATATGAATTATAGAACATAACTTTTTTTGTTTCAATTTTCCAAAATAAAAGTAGCCTATGTACATACATCAGCTACCTGCCAATAAAAGTTTTGCAAAATCGGTCCAGCCATTCCAGAGATTAGTCAGTACAAACAGATAGACAGACAGACAAAAAATTAAAAAAAAATCTTAGTATGTGTATCATATGTATATTCATATGCATGTAGTAAAAAGCGGTTATTTTAATATGACAAACAGACACTCCAATTATATTTATCTGTAGATATATATTTTAGTAAATAATTATGAGGCATTAGCATAAAATGTTATTACTTAGTTCGGAAGTAAGAAAACCTACGCAATACACAAAAATCTAAGTAACAATATCCGGCCCGGAAATCGAACCCGCTACGTCAATGACTCGACTACCTCCAAAGTTATTCATTCATGAAATAAGTAAAGCTATATCTATATCTTTAGTTACATTTTCTTCAAATGACCACCCATCCGAAAAATGATCGCGCCAAACGCCGCTTAACCTCGTAAATTGATACGCAAGGTCATATCTATACATAATAATAAAATCGTAGGAAAGTGAAAACTGTACATCGAATATTTTTAAAAGAATGATTTGGTCGTGATCTACAGTCGATACCGAAGCCAAAAATGTGGTTTTTGAATGAACTCATAAAGTTGTGGCGACACATTTTGCATTTCAACGGATGACGTCATAAAAATCCTACATCGCACATGCAAAGTTTACAAGCGAATAAACATTGATAGAAAAACCACTTTAGAAACAGAGACTATAGTTCCCTAAGATCGGAAAGGAAGGATCCTCCGACCAGGCGAAGTGATCGTGCCTGGCGGGCTTTCTGCCCAACAGTTGTTCGTTGGGATGATCCCTGCCGCATGTTTTCGCCATCGACCCTCACGACAACATGCATCCTCATCATATAGATGGTTGGCAGGCCACAACTGTGCGCATCTCGCGTAGCTTCCTGCCTCGCACAGCAAAACTGTGGATTGATCTGTCGTCGGCTGTATTTCCGAACCTATACGACCTTCAAACCGTCAAGAAAAGAGCGTATTCCTTTATTAAAGGGCCGGCAACGCACCTGTGACTCCTCTGGTGTTGCGGGTGTCCATGGGCGGCGCTGATCGCTTACCATCAGGTGATCCGTCAGATCTGCCGAAAAAAAAAACTCAATCAATAATATATTGATTGAGTTCACAAATAAATTGAAACTATATAATTAGGTTTTGTAATAGTAAGATAAATTCATTGATTTAAAAAGACGTATTTTATTTGATTGTAACTCGTATAGGCTGTTTGTAAACTGTCGATCTCGACTCATAGGTACAGTCTGAATAAAAGAACATAACATCACGCCTTTAATCCCCGAAGCGAAGGGGTAGGCAGAGGTGCACATTACTGCACTTAATGCCACTGAACAATGTGACACAGTGAGTGTTCACTATTTATGTTATGAGCTGCCGAGCAAGGGGTCTCGGGTTCGATTCCCGGGTCGGGCAAATTATTACTGGATTTTTAAATATTCTCAGTAGTAGCACGGAGTCTGGAATTGTGCCCGGTATATGGCAATAGGCTCACCCCCAATTACATGGGACTCGTAACATAAATAGTGAAAAGTGTGTGTTACATTGTACAGTGGTATTTTTTTTTTTTAAGGAAGTGTCAGACTCTTACTGACTAAATACCACCCCGTTCCTTCTCCTGTACGTCGAGCCGGAGCACCGGTTACCCGTTAGGTTCTCCGCGACTTGTACAGTGGTATAATGTGCACCACTGCCTACTCCTTCGGGGATAAAAGGCGTGATGTTATGTTATGTTATGTTAATTCTTTACATTATCTATACAGGTAGTAATTGTTTAACAGTTTGCAAGTCCCCTAACTTGAGCGAGGTGAACAACTTGCTGTGAGTAAGCGCTAACCGATGTTTGTACTTTGTATATGTACTTACTACATCGCAGTAGAAAGGCATCGACCTCGGAGCATGAATGGATACGAAAAATCGTCTAAAAATAATAAATTATACATTTTTATTACTTTTTTTTTGTTTTATAGTAAAGACTTTTACTTTTAATTTTGATTGTTTAAGATTAAAAAAATGACTTGATTGAGTCCTATATTTTACAATTTCAATTTATTATACTTTTATCGTGCATTACATTTGACATTGATTCGATTTCAAATATAAAAAATAAGGTTTTAAATTTAACCAATTTAAACAAATTAGGTATAATGTTATATTATTTTCTTTTTTGTATATTTAAATTTTTCTTAATATCAAAAACGTATTGTATTGTATGATATTGTACATTATTTTGTTATACTGTAATATGTATTTGTATTTTTATTTTTTGTAATCTTTATTTTGTGTGCCAATTGCCAAATAAATGATTTTTCTTTCTTTCTTTCTGTATGTATTATGTTTGCGATTATCTAGCGCTCCAGGCACTCCCTCCCGCCCCACCCGGGGGGAGAAGTCATTCGTAGATTTTCCCCCCTCGCCTGGGGGGGAGAAGTCATTCGTAGATTTTCTCCCCTTAAAAAAACCATAATCTACCCCTGTTCCAAATGCCATCCCGATATGATTATCTAACAGACATACATACAAACTTATTCACAAACTTTTGCATTATAATATTAGTAGGTAAGAATATATATGTATACTTAAACATGTATCAATTTAATCAAGTAATTAATTTTATTTTGTCTAAAGACCTAATTATCATCGTCATCATCAATAGCATATAAGTGTCCACTGCTGAGCAAAGCCTCTTCTCACACGGAGAAGGTTTGAGCATTAATCACCACGCTTGCTCGATGCGGGTTGGCGATCACAAACTTATAATTAGAAATTATAAGCCCAGGTTTCCTCACGATGTTTTCCTTCACCGTTTTTCAGTGACGTCTAGATAATCTTAGAAAGTACATATAACTCGGTAAAAGTCACATTGGTACTTGCTGTTGGTAGGTTTCGAACCCTCATGCATGAGGATTGAGGATGCCCTCATGAGAAGAGGGCGTCTTAAACCTCCGGGCCACCACAAGTCCTAGTTAATGTTATATCAAAACATTTTATAATTACAATCCTATGTTTTGTCAATTATATAATCATGAATCATTCCGTTAAAGGCCAATTAGGTTGATTCAATTCTCATCAGTAGATATAATATCAATGTCTTATTTTTTATTAGCCTGTCTCGTTGGCTGAGTGATCGCAAGTGCGACTGCCGGGCAAGGGGTCTCGGGTTAGATTCCCGGGTCGGGCAAAGTATTACTGGGTTTTTAAAAATCTCAGTAGTGGCACGGAGTCTGGAAATGTGCCCGGTATATGGCAATAGGCTCACCCCCTATTACATCGGACTCATAACATAAATAGTGAAAAGTGGGTGTTACATTGCACAGTGGCATAAAGTGCCGCAATGAGCACCTCTGCCTACCCCTTCGGGAATAAAAAGGCGTGATGTTATGTTATATTATATATTATTATATTATTTTTATTAGATAGGGTGGTAAACGAGCAGACAGATCACCAGAGGCGTTACAAGCGCGTTACCAGCCTTTTGGGTTTAGGAATTTGAGGATTGTTGGAGACTTAGGAATTGGGAAAGAGGGAAGCGGTAATTGGGCCTCCGTTAACCTCACTAACACGACGAAACACAACGCAAGCGTTGCATCACGTCAGTTTTCTGTGAGGCCGTGGTATCACTCCGGTCGAGCCGGCCCATTCGTGCCGAAGCATGGCTCAACACTTAATTCACGACGGTTTTATGTGAGACCATGTAGCCTACAGTAAAATGTAATTTTTTGAATTACTGATAATAGTATGCGCGACCAAGGATTTTACGTACGTCACACCTAACTTAGTAACTATTTCCTACGTTATAAATAAATAAATTAATGGTGACACTGCATGCAATATCTAGTTTTTTGTATGTCCTAATTATTTAAATGTTATCTACTAATACTGTAAATGTGCAAGTTAGTTTGTCTGTCATACTTTCTATACATAATTGGTTATGTGGGCCAGACCCTTGTTTCCGTATAAATGGATCGGCGCGGCCGGAGTGATACCACGGCCTCACAGAAAACAGGCGTGAAACCGGCTTTTTTCTTGAGATGGGAAAATCATCCAATGACTTCTCCCGCCCGGGTGAGGTGGGAGGGACTGTAAGACTCTTACTGACTAAAAACCACCCCGTTCCTACTGCTGCGCTTCGAGCTGGGGCCCCGGCAACCCGTTAAGTCTTCCGCAGCTCCGTATCGGCATCAGCCCTGTTAGGCCCCATCTGTGGTGGTCTGATGGCTCCTAGAGGCGCGCGCGGAACGCGACACGCCGTACGCTCGGGCCTGGTTTTGGTCGGGCGGCTTACGGTGGCCGGAGATCGTCTCGCGATCCCCGACGCCCGGAGTGTCTCTCGCGACGGCTGGGGCGTGAGGTGGTTCGTTGCCTCATGCGCTCTGCCTCCTCCTTAGCTAGCATGAATGCTTCGCAGAAGGAGGAGACGGCATCCCAGTCCCCCTCGCTCCGTATCATTACCAGAGCCGGACGCGAGAGGTCGCCGTCGCCGATAAACCGGCTGGCTTGTGATGTTACCATACTCGTCCCCTTCCCCTCAAAGGCCGTCAACACACTTTTGTTACCATTGGACAAACTCGCCACAACCTCCCAAAACCGCTGCAACTCCTGTAAGCCAGGATCTACAGTAGATACAATAATGCAAACACCGGAACACTGAAGTCCGGCGCGTCTCAGGGACATACACAACTGTCTTGAATCCCACAAGAAACACAACGCCAATGCACTTGTAATTAATCTAATTTTGCTGGGGTCCATGGGCATCGCCGATTGCTTACCATCTGATGATCCGTCTACTCATTCGTAACTGATGAAATATGAAGGATGAACGCATATCATTTATCTATTTGTCTGTGAATGTCAAATTGTCTATGGCTGATTTTCTTTTTAAATTATCTGTGGTCTGATATTAAACGCTTCGTCATTGTTCAATTACGCTCCGTCTTTTATTTAATGTTTCTATTAAATTAGTTTAATAAATCATCCATCTTACAAGTTTTCATCAGTTCATCAACAGCCTATAAATGCCCACTGCTGAGCAAAGCCTCTTCTCACACAGAGAAGGTTTGAGCATTAATCACGCTTGCTCAATGCGGGTTGGCGATTACAAACTTATAATTAGAAATTATAAGCCCAGGTTGACTCACGATGTTTTCTTTCACCGTTTGTCAATGGTGTCTGAATAATTTTAGAAAGTACATATAACTCGGAAAAAGTCACATTGGTACTTGCCGTTGGTAGGTTTCGAACCCGCACCCTCATGCATGAGAAGCGGGCGTCTTAAACCTACGGGCCACCACGACATTTTATCAGTAACCTACCTAAAAAAACTATACTCAGTACGTGGCCTATAAATCTAGCCTAACACTGAAAACACAACAAAAACCAAAAGACGGAACTAGTATCAACAATAAATTTGTCAAAATACAGTTAAACAGCGGATACGGAAGTAGTGTATAGCTCAAATAATAATCACATTTCCGAATTGTTAATATATTGTTATGTACTTGTAACTATAGTTTCGAAATCAAGGTCAAATCAGGTCAAACCAGTAGTTTTATGACGTCACAGTTGCATATTAATTATTGTTTAAGTTGAGTTCTAGTGGGATGTGTGGTTATGAGTTTTGTGTCTGTAATACATTTGTAACATGATAACATCCCCTATTCCTTGTATTGGGGTCGTAAGAACAAACAGAGGGACTACATAAGGGTGGTAGTTATCAATGGTTTACACGAGTTCCTTTAAATCTTTACTAATATTATAAATGGGAAAGTGAGTTTGTTTGTTTGTTCCACTTTCACGCCGTAACTACTAAACGACGAAACTACTAGACGTAAAGTTAGAAGTCCGGATTAAATAATAAGGTACTTTTTAACCCGGAAAAATTTGATATTCCCGGGGGAAAACAAAAGTATTGGTATAGATGGCGCTGTGTGTATTACTATATGTCACATAGGCTACTTCTTATCCTTTTGTGATGCGAGCGAAGCCGCGGGTAAAAGCTAGTCCCAAATAAAGCATTTCCTATTGGACAAGTGTCTGTACTCAATTGACGAACTGTAATAGTGTTATTGCAGTGTTTTTGTTGACATGTATTTTAATTCAATTATTTAATGTATTATTGTAGTGTTTCTGTTGACATGTATTCTAATTCAATTATTTAATGTATTATTGTAGTGTTTTTGTTGACATGTATTCTAATTCAACTATTTAATGTATTATTGCAGTGTTTCTGTTTACATGTATTTTAATTCAATTATTTAATGTATTATTGCAGTATTTCTGTTTACATGTATTTTAATTCAATTATTTAATGTATTATTGTAGTGTTTCTGTTGACATGTATTCTAATTCAATTATTTAATGTATTATTGCAGTGTTTCTGTTTACATGTATTTTAATTCAATTATTTAATGTATTATTGCAGTGTTTCTGTTTACATGTATTTTAATTCAATTATTTAATGTATTATTGCAGTGTTTCTGTTGACATGTATTCTAATTCAATTATTTAATGTATTATTGCAGTGTTTCTGTTGACATGTATTTTAATTCAATTATTTAATGTATTATTGCAGTGTTTCTGTTGACATGTATTCTAATTCAATTATTTAATGTATTATTGCAGTGTTTCTGTTGACATGTATTCTAATTCAATTATTTAATTGCGGAAGAATTTATGATTGATCCATTCTTAGCTTGAAAAGTACCCAATTAAGTAATTTCTTTCTAAATTTGATTTTTGTCATTTTATCTGAGATTATTTGTCGTTTTATTATTATTTTAATTGTTCTGTTGTTTCTTTATGTATTTTCTTGAGTAATGTGACTGATCCATGCTGCATGGATTTATATTGCAATGTAATTTATAATTATGAAGACATTCAGATACAATAAAAATCGTTTATTGAATAAATGAAATGAAATGAAAAAAATTAAAAAACTGCGTTTAAAAAAACCGACTTCAAAAACAAATGACAAACAAAAAGTAAAAACTAAAAAGGAAAAAAAAACTATTAGTGGTCATACGTACTTATAGCTTATGTGTAAGCTATACCCACTGATAGGTTAGAAGTCGGTGCCACAAGTTTTAAACAAAATTATTCATTAAAACCTTAATAGATACCTAACATTATTGAGCTGTTTACAATTTTATTATGGATTGTACCAGCTGTGACTTTTGTCTACTTTATATTTTATTGTGAGTTTGTGGCACCGACTTCTAACCTATCAGTGGGTATAGCTTACACATAAGCTATAAGTACGTATGACCACTAAAAGTTTGTTTTTCCTTTTTAGTTTTTACTTTTTGTTTGTCATTTGTTTTTGAAGTCGGTTTTTTTAAACGCAGTTTTTTAATTTTATTTTATACTTTTTAGTTTAGTACTTTGATATATTATATTATACAAAACCCACATGGATGCACAGTTTTCATCAATACAAATTATGCAAGTTCAAACACCGGGTGGGTACTCTTAACCATTGAGGAGTCCCTTAGCTATCATACTACTTCGTCATTGGACCTTTAATGAACATCACCCCCCCCCCCCATCTAGGTGTAAAGTCCTCATCAATACAAATTAATCAAACCCAAACACAAGGTAGCTACTGTTAACCTTTGAGGAGTTCCCTCGACTATCGTACTACTTCATCATCAGACCCTTATTGACAATTACACCCCACTCAGGTGTAAAGTCCTCATCAATACAAATTAATCAAACCCAAACACGAGGTAGCTAGTGTTAACCTTTGAGGAGTTCCCTCAACTATCGTACTACTTCATCATCAGACCCTTATTGACAATTACACCCCACTCAGGTGTAAAGTCCTCATCAATACAAATTAATCAAACCCAAACACAAGGTAGCTAGTGTTAACCTTTGAGGAGTTCCCTCAACTATCGTACTACTTCATCATCAGACCCTTATTGACAATTACACCCCACTCAGGTGTAAAGTCCTCATCAATACAAATTAATCAAACCCAAACACAAGGTAGCTACTGTTAACTGTTGAGGAGTTCCCTCAACTATCGTACTACTTTATTATCAGACCCTTATTGACTATTACACCCCACTCAGGTGTAGAGTCCTCATCAATACAAATTAATCAAACCCAAACACAAGGTAGCTACTGTTAACCTTTGAGGAGTTCCCTCAACTATCGTACTACTTCATCATCAGACCCTTATTGACAATTACACCCCACTCAGGTGTAAAGTCCTCATCAATACAAATTAATCAAACCCAAACACAAGGTAGCTACTGTTAACTGTTGAGGAGTTCCCTCAACTATCGTACTACTTTATTATCAGACCCTTATTGACTATTACACCCCACTCAGGTGTAGAGTCCTCATCAATACAAATTAATCAAACCCAAACACAAGGTAGCTACTGTTAACCTTTGAGGAGTTCCCTCAACTATCGTACTACTTCATCATCAGACCCTTATTGACAATTACACCCCACTCAGGTGTAAAGTCCTCATCAATACAAATTAATCAAACCCAACACAAGGTAGCTAGTGTTAACCTTTGAGGAGTTCCCTCAACTATCGTACTACTTCATCATCAGACCCTTATTGACAATTACACCCCACTCAGGTGTAAAGTCCTCATCAATACAAATTAATCAAACCCAAACACAAGGTAGCTACTGTTAACCGTTGAGGAGTTCCTCCGACTATCGTACTACTTCATCATCAGACCCTTATTGACAATTACACCCCACTCAGGTGTAAAGTCCTCATCAATACAAATTAATCAAACCCAAACACAAGGTAGCTACTGTTAACCGT